CACTTAAGAGCGGTGTGGGAAGCTACCACGCAGACATCTGGCACGGCCTCTCCACCGCCTTGCCAGGGTACCTGGGCAAGAAGTGCTCAGGCAGCAGCAGGAAGAGACGCGATAGCCGGAAAGGCCAGAGAGGGGCCCAGAGCAGAAGAGCCAGCCAGCCGCTGCCCAGCCAGCGCTGGTGCCAGCCGCCAAGTGTGAGCTGCACAATGACGACGAGGATGGGCGAGTGGTGTGTCCAAAGACGCTTAAACAGAAAACCCGGGGCAGGACAGTGACCCCACTCTGGAAAAGAGAACATAAATAGACCATCTGCTGGGGCCACCCTGTCGGGATTCTGGCCATGCACACACACCTGACGTGTTCTGCAAGCTGGCAAGCCAGGGTGTGAGCCCTATAGCCAGCCACGTGGGATCTGGCTCGCTCAGCAACCAAGCCACAGATACTCAACTCTTTATTTCAGGTTTTTGCCACACGGTGCACGCTCTCGTAGGAGACAGAGGGAGAGTTAGAAATCACTCACCCGGGGGGGACGGCTACACCACAATCCCTTCTCCCCTCAGAATCCTGGGCACGCATGCACACTCTCACCTGCCTGGCATGATTCTCAAGCCACTAGGTCCAGGACTCAAACCGCTGTCAGCCATGTGGGAATCCAGCACCTTAACCACCATGCTATGCTGGCCTCAATACACAACTCTTAACAGCTATTGTGATAATTTAGAAACAATTAGAAAAAAGGGGCCAGCAGGTGGCATGGTGGTTATATGTGCTGGATTCCCACATGGCTGACAGCGGTTTAAGTCCCAGACCTGAGGGCTTGCTTTCTCGCTTTGCCTCGCTCTCTCTTTTCCTCTCTGTCTGGTCAAATTAAAAAATAGTAATAAAAAATGGAATTAATTAAATAAATAAAGTATATCATTTTTTAAAAAAGAAACAATTATGGAAACTTCAAAAAGTCTGTGAAAAAGGAATCCAACTCTGAATTTATTTTGACGCAAAAATACTTTGAAATCCCTGCACAGTGCCTCCCTAACAGGCCCCCGTGATGGCTCTGCAATCACCGAGGTCTCAGACGCAGAGCCCCTGACGGGATGCCGGGACCACAGGGCCTGAGCTACGCTGAGGCCTGGCAGCCATCCATGCATGCCCCAGGCACAGGCTGGCATAGGTCGTGCAGACTGTCAGGGTAAGACTGGAGGACTTCCCGGAGCAGGCGTGCCTCTGTGCTCAGGCCGCTCCGGACACCCGATGGCATTTCCTTGCACTTAGCCACCTTTTCCTCATCGAAGGGAAAACCGATAAACTGGAAATCTGATACTTTGACAGATGGAAGCTATTTTAGAAAGTAAGTGTTAAGTATTAAGTGTTTCTTGAAACCCCAGACCTGCCACCGCGAGGACAGCGGCCAGCCGCTCGCTCACCCTCTTCTTCAGCCGCTCCCGCTCCTTCAAGGTGAGCGTGTCAGCCTTGGCGATGACAGGCACGATGTTCACCTTGTTGTGGATGGCTTTCATGAAGGCCACGTCCAGGGGCTTGAGCCTGAAAGCGAGTGCAGAGATGTAACCAGCTCTGTCCCCGAAAGCCACTTCGACCCTCACATCACGGTGAGCAGTCCCGGGAGATGGGCCGCGCGGCGACCGGCTTACCCATGCCCGAAGGGTGACAGGAAGTAGAAGCAGCAGTGCACCCGGTTGTCCACAATGTGGCGCCTATTCAGGCCGCTCTCGTCATGCAGGTACCGCTCGAACTGCTCGTCGATGTACGAGATGATCGTCTTGAAGCTGAGCGCAAGAGACGGCGGCAGCTGGGAGGGCACTGCAGCAGGAGTGCCAGACCCCGCTCTTCACCTGCCCTATACCTCTGTCCATGCACGCATGCGCGCACACACACACACCTGCACACATATACACATACGCACATAATATACATGCAAACACACACACTATACAGACACTTGTACGCACCAACACATACGTACATACATGCATGCAACATATACACATACGTTTGTCTTTATACACATGCACCCATATACAGACATCTATTTAAATACACACTCACCAGTCATGTATATGGACACACACGTATGTAGGCATACATGTACATACTCATATACACCACACACACACATACACACACTCACACACTCACAAAAGTGAATGATTCACTTTCGAGATGGCACCAGGAGACCGACTCCCGGACTTGGAGAAACGAGAGTCTTTGGAAGTGCCCAGTGCGGGGAGCTGGACACCTGAGAACTTAAGAAGCCCTGGAGGCCTGACCAGTGGAGCTCGACTGTGGGCGCGAAGGGCACAGGCCACGCACACTGATCTATGGCACGGACAGCACAGCACCAACGTGCGGCGAGGAGACGCCTGACGTAGCGGGGCACGAGGACCGCTGGGTTAAACCGTGTAGCGGAGGGCACAGGCAGAGGGGCCTCAGCAGGCCCGGTGCAGGGGAGCAGAAAGCCGCCTGCTCTACTCCCTGGGCAACGGTGCTAACGAGCAGCCTCTCACACATGACTGCGTCCGAGGTGCCTCGGCAGTGTCCCTCCCTTCCGCATGGGAAGGGCCCGCTCAGCCCCACGCTATGCACAGGCGCTTTCCAGCCCGGCTCCCGAGGGTGCAGAGGACACTCCAGCTCAGCACTGCGAGGTCCTCCCCGGAAAGCCTGTGCTTGCTGAGCCCGACGCTGCCCCGCCGCTCCCTTAGACCCCACCCCCGCCCAAGCCTGACGGGATAGACGGGAGCTGCTCAGCCCTCGGCCTCCCGCTCCCTGGCACGCACCAGTCCCTGCAGTTGATGGCGTCGCCATAACCGGGAGTGTCCACCACCGTCAGGCGCAGCTTGACCCCCCGCTCCTCGATCTCGACAGTTGAAGCCTCAATCTGGACAGTTCTTTCAATTTTCTCTAGTAAAGAAATAAACTCAGTAGTGAACAGACAGCCTGAAGCCCTGTGTGAAGGGACCTACCTGCTGGCAACAGGTGACTCGGACTCAGAGGGTATCCCCAGGACCACATAAAAATGCCCCCAGAGGCAGCAAGACCAGGTAAATGCTGACGTGAAGACTAAATTGCTGCTCAGAAGATTAAAAAACCTGGGTTTCAGTCCCAGACCTGGTGGCTTAAAACTCACACTGGGTACATGTGTGTATGTGCCCAAAATCCTGAGAGAAGAATGGAGAAGAGACTGCGGTATGGTCACCACCCTGCCCCAGGGTGATTTCTTGCTTTCTGTCTGTCTTCTGGTGAGTGCTCGTGCCCTATAGCAAAAATCTCTCTTAAAAAAAGTCGACATGAAAAGGATCTCTCCGGGCCGGCCCACAGTGCGGCAGCTAAACCTGCAGAAAAGCCACATCTTGTCCAGGTTTGTGTTCTGGCATCGGCAGCTGGAACCCTGCCAGAGGGGCACATACCCAGGGCCCGGCGGCAGAGAACTGGAGGGCCCCAGCTGCAGTGTGGCCAGGCCCCAGGGGCCCTCGCTCCTTGCCTCCTCTCTCGGATGGGTATGCACATACCCTCAGGGTGCTTTAAAAAAAAAACGAGTAATTTTCTGTTCCTTGGATAAAGAAAAAAATGTTCTAAATTCATTAAAAAGCGGAGTTCTGAGTTTTTGTACATGTCGTCTTTGCAGCATCTGTAGTGAGGCGAACACTGCCCTGGGTTCTCCCACAAACTGTAGAACGTGATGCTGTGACAGAGCCAACGGAAGAGAGGGCATCCCATGGGTGGCATGGGACACTCGCGACCAGGCCAGATCCCCGGGGCAGCACACCTTGCCCGCCTTGGTCAGCAGGACAAACCAGCACAAGGGGAAGGCCGCCGTTAGCGCGTGCTCACCAGCAAAGTCGCCGTGGGGCCCGCCGACCCGAGTGCTCCTCACCTGCGGCTCCAGGTATGACTCTTTCTGGGTAGAGGTCCGTCAGGAATAGGCTGTCCCCCCCAAGCCGGGCGGGAAAGACGGGAGCTGCTCAGCCCTCGGCCTCCCGCTCCCTGGCACGCACCAGTCCCTGCAGTTGATGGCGTCGCCATAACCGGGAGTGTCCACCACCGTCAGGCGCAGCTTGACCCCCCGCTCCTCGATCTCGACAGTTGAAGCCTCAATCTGGACAGTTCTTTCAATTTTCTCTAGTAAAGAAATAAACTCAGTAGTGAACAGACAGCCTGAAGCCCTGTGTGAAGGGACCTACCTGCTGGCAACAGGTGACTCGGACTCAGAGGGTATCCCCAGGACCACATAAAAATGCCCCCAGAGGCAGCAAGACCAGGTAAATGCTGACGTGAAGACTAAATTGCTGCTCAGAAGATTAAAAAACCTGGGTTTCAGTCCCAGACCTGGTGGCTTAAAACTCACACTGGGTACATGTGTGTATGTGCCCAAAATCCTGAGAGAAGAATGGAGAAGAGACTGCGGTATGGTCACCACCCTGCCCCAGGGTGATTTCTTGCTTTCTGTCTGTCTTCTGGTGAGTGCTCGTGCCCTATAGCAAAAATCTCTCTTAAAAAAAGTCGACATGAAAAGGATCTCTCCGGGCCGGCCCACAGTGCGGCAGCTAAACCTGCAGAAAAGCCACATCTTGTCCAGGTTTGTGTTCTGGCATCGGCAGCTGGAACCCTGCCAGAGGGGCACATACCCAGGGCCCGGCGGCAGAGAACTGGAGGGCCCCAGCTGCAGTGTGGCCAGGCCCCAGGGGCCCTCGCTCCTTGCCTCCTCTCTCGGATGGGTATGCACATACCCTCAGGGTGCTTTAAAAAAAAAACGAGTAATTTTCTGTTCCTTGGATAAAGAAAAAAATGTTCTAAATTCATTAAAAAGCGGAGTTCTGAGTTTTTGTACATGTCGTCTTTGCAGCATCTGTAGTGAGGCGAACACTGCCCTGGGTTCTCCCACAAACTGTAGAACGTGATGCTGTGACAGAGCCAACGGAAGAGAGGGCATCCCATGGGTGGCATGGGACACTCGCGACCAGGCCAGATCCCCGGGGCAGCACACCTTGCCCGCCTTGGTCAGCAGGACAAACCAGCACAAGGGGAAGGCCGCCGTTAGCGCGTGCTCACCAGCAAAGTCGCCGTGGGGCCCGCCGACCCGAGTGCTCCTCACCTGCGGCTCCAGGTATGACTCTTTCTGGGTAGAGGTCCGTCAGGAATAGGCTGTTGATGAGTGTCGACTTCCCGAGGCCCGATTCACCTTCAAATGGAAACGGAACCTTGTCACACCCCACGTGCACGCACAGGCAGGCCTGCTCCCGCTGCCCCACTGACGCCAAGCTGTGTCCGGGAAATGGTGCTCATAGCTGGCACCCCACCTGGCCGGGGCAGCATGGAAAGCGACACGCGCCTGGGCCTGGGGACTCGGTGGCAGTCAGGAACACGTGCTCGTCACAGTGTGGGACAGACCTCAGCGCTTGCTCTCTACTCAGGATGCAAGGACGCAGTCAGGATGCAGCTTTGCGTCCTGCTCAAGGGAGCGTGCACGCGGAACACAGTGGTCGGCCACACTGGGAGCACCCTGCACCATGGGGGCAGGCGGGAGGTGGCACCACTCCCGCCAGGCTCCAGTGGGCTCTGCCAGCCCTGTGCTGCTCCTCTGGCCCCACGCAGGCAATGGCCACGCCAGGCGGTGCTCTGCCCAGAGACTCCTGTCCGGGTAGCACACACTCGCCCCACTCCTGCGAGTTCATGCCTTCTCTGATGCCTGCACGGGGAGGGCCTCTTCTCAGCACTGCAACCGCGCGCAGGGTATCCGGGCTTCAGAGAAGGTGTGAATGCACAGAAGGGAAGCTCTGCCCCGGAGGCTGGGTGAGCCCCACTGCAGGCCATGCTGCTGTGCACGGCCCCACCTTCGGCATCATGCTGTGCTTGCAGGCACCTGGGTCTGAACCGCGCCACCCACCAAGTCCTGCACGGGGTGGGAAAGAATGCGCACCCATCATAAAATCACTTCTGGGAAGGTCAAGAGATGAACCTGGAAGACACCAGCCTGCACTCCAGTTCCGCAGGTGTGAGGAAGCCAGGCGGGAGCCGCCCCAGCAGGGCATGCGGGGGTGGCCAACCACGGTATCAGCCATCCACTCGCCTCCCGGCCAGCGGCCCAGGGGCTGGGAGAAACATGAACGGACACTGCAGCCTTCTGTAGGCCTGGTACAGCCTAGACACTGGCACACCCCACACAGTAAGCCCAACGCAGCCCAGGCTCCCAGGAGCTGAAGCAGTGAGGGCCCAAACAGGCCCCCGCTGTTGCTGGGACGGGCACGTCTGCCATGGTTGAACACATCTCCCCCAGGGTCAGTGCTGGAGCTTGGCTGTGCTGTGATGGGAAGAGGCGCCATCCGACTGGTGGTGGAAGGGGAGGGCGAGACGGGCACAGTGCCCCCCGCATGGCCCTACAGCCCGGGTGGGGCCACACTCCGAGTTGCCCTACCTGTCTCACTGACCACCAGAGGTCCCTCTGCCATCAGAAACAGAACGCGCCCCCCACCCCCACCCCCGCACACTTGAGCCTAAGGCAGCGTGGCCTGGCAGCGCGAGGCCAACGCCCGCTGCGGCCTATGCCCGGCAACACAGGTGCTCGCCCTGGCTTCCTTCCTTGGTGTCACCACTGACTTGATTTCGGAGTCCTTGACAAGCTGCTATCTAGACACCTGCACAGATCTGTCATTTATTTTAATGTGCCCGTTTATTTAAAAAAAATTAACTTTATTATTATTTTTTTTTTGATCAGAGAGAGAGAGAAAGAGAGAGAGAGAGAGAGAGAGGTAAAGTGAGAAAGCAAGCCACCAGGTCTGGGACTCGAACTGTAGTCGACCATGTGGGATTCCAGTGCCTTTAACCATGCCACCTGCTGGCCCCAGAATGTGCCTGTTTCTTAAGAAGTCTACCACAGTTCACACACACACACTCTTACACAGCGGTAAGACGTGCTGGCCGACACACACACCTAGATACCCTGACTCCATCCAGAATCCAGGCCACCTACAGCCCGTGACCTGCTCAGTGAGCCGGGCCCCTGGGACAGGCCACATCCAGCCTGTCTACCTTACTGGCATGGCGCACATGGGAGTGTCAGACCAAGGGCACACGCTCGCCTGTGAGCGCCCTGGTAAGCCACCCGAACCATGACCTGCGCGTCCGCATCCAGGGCACGCATGACCGGCGCCCACTCCCTTACCTGTGCCATCGCCCACAGGTCAAGAGAAAGCAGCTGTGGACACCCACAAGCAGTCTCTTGGGCAGACTCGGGAGTGACACTGTTGGGCACACCCTGCTTGGAAACACACCTAGTCTCCATGTGGCCGGGGCCTTTCCCTCTCTCATGGCAACTGGGGAGCTCAGATAGGCCCACACGCTTGCCCACACCCAGCTGCCCACAGGGAAAATGCCAGCATGCCGGCAGGAGCACACTGGTAGCAATGGCTTCAAGGTGCGGTTTCTGGACTCCAGACGTGACTATCTTGGGCCAGTCAGCGATGTGACTGAGGTGGCTGGATCCCACATGGCTGACCGATAGTCCTGGACCTGACGGCTTGTAAAACGCGCCAGGCACATATACGTGCATGCTCACAACCCCGACAGGAGGAGAGGTGGAGAAGGGTTTGTGGTGTGACCATGCCCCCAGGAGATGCCTTGCTTTACCCCTCTCTGGTTACAAATGCATTTACTCACCCCACGTGACCACCTAGCTGTGACAGCACTACTTACGAAAGACTGACCTTCCCATGGAGTTACCCTGGCATCTTGGTCAAAAAACCAGTTTGTCTTATACAAGGGGAAAGTTCAGAGTTCCTGGGAAAATGGAATTCAAGTAAAACTCATTTTGGTGGAAAGATGTGTGTCCATATGAGAATGGAAAGGTATTGTGTTCAATGCTATCTTTTACTTGCTTGACACGTGATGCATTTATGCTTTGAGAGCCCATAATGCACTCTGTAAAAATTTACAATGATTAAATGTAAATTAAAAAACTATTGGGACTGGGAACCAGCAGTTAGTGTAATGGCTATGTCGCTGGACTCCCACGTAGTTGACCGCGGTTCGCGTCCCGGAACCGGTGGCTTAAAACTCACGCTGGGCGCGTGTGCGTGCGTGCCCAAGATTCCGAGAGGAGAATGGAGAAGGGATTGTGGCGTGCCCAATCCCCCTGGGGGGTGATTTCTCGCTTTCTGTCTCTATGTCTCTCTCTGTCTGTCTGGAGAGTGCACACGCCCTATAGCAAAAACATCTCAAAAAAATAAATAAATAAAGAACTGCCACCTTCCACCTAAGTCTATTAGTGCTAAGTGCTGAGGGACTGTGGTGGTTGTTTTTTTTTTTTGTTTGTTTGTTTTGTTTTGTTTTGTTTTTTGCTATAGGGTGTATATACTCATTGGAGAGCCAGAGAAACAGAAAGCGAGAACTCACCCTCCAGGGTGGATGGCCGTGCCACAATTCCTTCTCCTCTATTCTCTTGGGATTT